GCCTCCTGGGTTCAGGCAATTCTCCTGCCTCAGCCTCCAGAGTAGCTGGGACTACAGGCGCACGCCACCATGCCTAGCTAATTTTTGTATTTTTAGTAGAGACAGGGTTTCACCATGTTGACCAGGATGGTATTGATCTCTTGACCTCGTGATCCACCTGCCTCGGCTTCCCAAAGTGCTGGAATTATAGGCGTGAGCCACCGCGCCCAGCAGTAAATCCTATTTCTAATGTATATAACCACATTTCACACAAAATACACAATTTCTATGCCAGATAAAAATAAACCAAGTGAATTTACAAGAGATTTTGAATTTTGTGACATTTTCACTGTAAGTAATCTGTTTGGGGTTAACGTTCTTGTTTAGCAAACTTTTATGAGTTTGTCTTTCTGACTCTCTTCAGCATCACAGAGCCTGCAGCCAAATCCACCAGTGGGTTGATAAAATTTATAATTATCCATTCTTTTTCTTTTTTTTCTTTTTCAATTTTTCAGCTTTTATTTAACTTGAACTTTAATACATTATCTATTAGAATGATTTATATTACTGCAGTGAGTCTTTTATAAGATGTAGGTTTGTGGAAGGGTCTATTGATTATTATTTTAATCATCATAGCAGTTGCTATATTTAGTAAAATATCAACTCTGGTAAAAATAGGAGTTACAACCCTCTTGCTTAAAATTCTAGAGGGTTAAAATTTGAGATAATGAAATTATATATTAATGTTTAACAGGAATATTAACTTTTGACGTTATCTGAAAATGAGTTGAAAGTGTTGTTTGGAATGAATGAGTCTACTTCCCTGTGTTTTCGTCTTTTCTTATAACCAGGAAGTCATTCATTCTCCTGCACTTTCATGAGTCAGCACCTTCATAAGGCTAGAGACAAACATATTGTTAAATTAACTTAATCATCTGATTGTCACAATAAGGGGCATTTGGATGAGGGCCTGAGCTAACGAGGAAACTAGTGAAACATGGAAAACCAGCCATGGGAATCCTTTGATCAAAAAGATGCAAAATTTGTCAACTCTCCTCTAACAAACTCAGGAAGGCTACAATGATGGAAACATTATTTACTTGATATTTAAGAAATATGTAACAGCCAGGCATGGTGGCTCATGCCTGTAATCCCAGCACTTTGGGAGGCTGAGGTGGGTGGATCACGAGGCCAAGAGATCGAGACCATCCTGGTCAACATGGTGAAACCCCGTCTCTACTAAAAATACAAAAAATTAGCTGGGCTTGGGGTGGGTACTTGTAATCCCAGCTACTCAGGAGGCTGAGGCAGGAGAATTGCCTGAACCCAGGAGGCGGAGGTTGCGGTGAGCCAAGATCGCGCCATTGCACTCCAGCCTGGGCAACAAGAGCGAAACTCCATCCAAAAAAAAAAAAAAAAAAAATGTAATGTTACCATCAAGGGTATATTGGTGGAATTTGGCTCCAGCTGCCACAGAGTGCTTAAGGGGAAGCATTCTGATTACATAATTCTGATTGCCAAGGCCCTAGTGAGGCCAGTGGGGTTTTGGAGCATGTGAAGTGTCAGGGACCCCACTGGCAGCCCAGTGAAACCTACGAAATTCCCCCTCACAACATTGTTTGCAAATGCATCAAGCAAAATCCATGCTATTTCAAAGAAAACATATTAAAATACATTTATCCAAATATTAAAGAAAAATGGATATAGTAACCCATGAGGTGTGTTTTTCTCATCAAATTAAAAGATCCAACAGTGGAAGTAACAATGCCACGATTTCAAGGTAATGATCAACATGAACAATATTTTGATCAACATGAACAGTATTTTGAGATATCCGCTACAATTTCATAATGTAATATGGAAAGATCTGTGATTCCATTTTTGACAAACTCATGTGCTGGGAAAAACTACTGTGCTCTGTTGTCGACATTCATAACCTAACAAAATGCTAAATTTCAGCCACAGATGTATGAGAAAGAGACATATATTTTTCTATTTATGTTTACAGAGTAAGTTATGCCTGTGTCCCCTTTGGAGGTCTAGAGACTCAGGAACCCCTAGATGTAGGTGTACGCACGTCCCAGACTCCAGCAGCTCCGACCCTGTGTTGTTGTCACTGTCCTGGGAGCAGCGTCAGTCTGTTTCCTGTCTCCTGAATTCACTTTGGCTTATTTTTAAAAATTAACTGAATAATTAAATGTTTAATTAACAATTAAAACTTAATTTTATAAAATCATATAACTATAGTTAATATATATAAAATATATTTTACATTATAATTTATAATTTTATAAAATTATATTAACAAATTTTATATTAATATATAGTAGGCATATAGTGTATAGTATAAATACATATTTTTTACATGTAGTTATGGTAAATAACAGGTATTTATATATAGTAGATATATAGTATAAATACATATTTGTATATATAGTTATGGTATATAACAGGTATTTATATGTAAATAATAGAATGGCTAAATCAAGCTAATTAACATACCTATTATCTCACATACTTATCATTTTTTTGTGGTGACAACACTTTAACTTTCTTAGCAATTTTCAAGTGTATAATACACATTTGGCTTCAAAGAACCTGGATCCACAAGGCCATGCAGACCTTCAGTCTAGAATGAAGAAGAGTCTTAGCAGCAGCTCTGGGAAGGGTCAGGGGGAGCTGGGTCTGTGGCTCCCCTTAGCTTCTCTCACTGCAGCAGCGTTGGCCACCTCTATGGATAACGCAGCATCCTTCCCCTCCTGTCACAGGGGTTAGGTCCACTTGTTGGAACATTTTATGCTGCTTTTATTTGAGGGAGGAAAACTCAGAAGCAAGCTCTAACATTCAGGAGTTTTGGTTAAGTCATTTTGTCTCTCTCAGTTCTGGTTTCCTCATCTGCAAAATTCTGGTGTCAAACTAAAACTATGATTTCCAAATTGTGGAGCTGTGCAGAGCCCCAGGGCCTTTCATTCCTCCCCAGGGGGAGGAAAAAGGCAGACTGGCAGGGTTCTGGCTTCAGTCCATCACTTATTACATACTGGAATCCTATTTGAAGAAGGAATTAAAATATACATATATGTGTGTGTGTGTGTGTGTGTGTCTGAGTGTGTGTGTATATATATAACATATATACTATATAAATATATATTTAATATAAAATATATTTATATAAATATAGATATCTGCAGTACCTTGCTACTAATAGACAACTGGAAGATGTAGGGTCACATGCTTGGCTTTACCCTTCAAAATGGCTCTGTTGTTTTCTCATTGGTCAACACCAGCATGGTGATCCAATATATTCCAGTTGCTAGTTAGCAACAAGGGGTGGTGAAGGTAGCTGTTTTCTGCACTTTAGGAAACAGGTTATAGATTCCCTGGGACTGATCGTTTACCACTATAACATAAACAAAGTCACAAATGTGCACAGCATGTGGGGAGCTAAAGGTAAAGTATCACACAAAGAATAGAAAGTTCTGTGTAACAATAAATCTCCCTTCTTGATCTTTTGCCAGGATATCTTCCCAATTTGAAAGGAGATCTAGGTACATCTCCTGTCTAACAAAGGCCACCTTGTACTGGGGCAAATGAAAAGCTGAATATGTCTTTCTAGGAGTTCATAAATGCAGAAACCTAGTCTCTCTCTCTTTATGTGTGTGTGTGTGTGTGTGTGTGTGTGTTTCCGTATACTGAGCATTTGAAGCAAACACAGAGGATTCACTACTATGAACACTGTTATTTACAGTCCTTAGGTGCCACCAAAAGAGCCCTCTGTACCCTCATATATTACTGGTGGGTATGGGGATGTAAAATCGTGCTGCCACTTTAGAAAGCAGTTTTGCAGTTCTTCAAAAAGTGTAACAAAGACTTATCGCATGACCCACGATTCCACTCCTAGGTATATTCCAAGAAGAATTTTTAAAAAAATGTATCAGGTCATAGCAGCATTGTTCGTAGGAGGCAAAAGTATAAACAACCTAGATATATATCAACGGATACGTGGCTAAACAAAATGTGTTCTATCCATGCGGTGGATACTATTCAGACATGAAAAGGAACAAACACTGATACCTGAAAAGGCATGGATGAACTTTGAAAATATGACAAGTACAAGTAGCCAGACACAGATGGCCACATATTGTATGAATGCGTTTATATGAAATGTTTATAAATAGGCAAATCCATAAAGACAGAAAGTAGATTAGTGGCTGCAGAAATAGGGGAAGATGGAAATGGGGAGTGACCACTAATTTTTTTAGGGAGGGTGATAAAAATGTTCTGGAATTAGTGGTGATAGTTTCAAAATTTTGTAAATTAAAAAAAAAACACTAAATTGTACACGTTAAAAAAGTGAATCTTGACCGGGCTCAGTGGCTCATGCCTGTAATCCCAGAACTTTGGGAGGCTGAGGCAGGTGGATCACCTGAGGTTGGGAGTTCAAGACCAGTTTGATCAACATGGAGAAACCCTGTCTCTACTAAAAATACAAAATTAGCCGGGCGTGGTGGCACATGCCTGTAATCCCAGCTCCTGGGAGGGCTGAGGCAGGAGAATCACTTGTACCCGGGAGGTGGAGGTTGCAGTGAATCGAGATTGAGCCATTGCACTCCAGCCTGGGCAACAAGAGTGAAAAAAAAAAAAAAAAAAAAAAAAAAAAAAAAAAAAAAAAAAAAAAAAAAAAAAAAAAAAAAAAAAAAGAAAAGAGTGAATCTCATGGTTTGGAAATTATATATCAATTAAAAAATCCACTTTAGCTACCTTAAGAAAAATTTTAAAAAGACATTGGTGACTCATTGAAACTCCAGTAGGAATAGAGAGAGAGCCAGGTTTACAGGCCATGTGGCTAGGAACAAGCCCCAGGTTACCTTGTAGGGGTTTCTCCTGCCACTGCCCTGAGCACATATGTGGCAGCTTGCAACACTAAATACTGAGCATAGGATGCCGCTAGTTCTCTTGTCCCTGGTGCCTCTGAAAC